GTCATCATCTATATCTATTAATGGACCACCTACAAATATTCAGAATAAACCACTTTATTTGATGTTACTTTTTCCTGCTTTGAAAGCACACAAAAGAAATACAAATTAACATATCATGCACTGGTGGAATAACTTTTATGCAATTATATCCTCAAGTCCAACTCTCAGTAGTAGTGTGACACAATTGATATGAATATGCTATCTTGGAAACAAGAAAATGCTAGTATTTTAAATTCCTAAATATTAATAATAATAGTAGGATGTGTAACAACTTTTAAAACTCATAATTATGAAAAGTACTTTAAACTTTAGGATATAAACTTTGATTTAATTTATCACATATGATATTGTTTTTATATTTTTTAAATAAAGACTTTATTCTACTGTGAGGTTCCCAGAAAAACTGAGGGGAAGGTACAAATTTATTGCATACACCCTCCCCTCACTCATGCAATGCCTCCCCACTATTAATATTCCTCATCAGAGTGGAACTTTTGTTAGAGCTGATTAACCTACATTAACACAACTTAATCTCCCAAAGCCCATACTTTCCCTTACCCCTTGGTGTTGTATATTCTATGTATATTCATTATAATATTATACAGAGTATTTTCAGTGCCCCCCAAATCCTCTGTCCTCTGGCTATTCATCGCTCCCTTCTCTTCTTCACCCCAGCAACTAATAATCTTTGTTTTGTTTCCCTAGTGTTGCCTAGAATGTCATATAGATGGAAACATACAGAATGTTGCCTTTTCAGATTGACTACTTTCACTTAATAATTTTCATTTAATGTTTTTCCATGTCTTTGCATGATTTAATAATTCATAGACATTAAGGAAGATACAAAATAAGTGAAAGCATATACTATGTTCATGGATAGAAAGGTTTATCATCATTAAAAAGTACATACTACACAAAGTAATCTACAGCTTCAACAATTCCTATTAAAATACCAATGCCTTATCTCACAGATCTAGAATACTCTAAAAATTTATGTGCAGAGAGCCCAGAAATAAGCCCATGCCTCTATGACCAATTAATATTTGATACAAGAAGTACATACAATTGGATAAAGACAGCCCCTTCAATAAATGGTGTTGGGAAAATTAGACAGATACATGCAAAACAAATGACACTAAATCACCAACTTACACCATATACAAAAACAAGCTTAAAATGGATTAAGAACTTAAATATAAATTGTGAAATTATAAAAACCTAGATGAAAACATAGGCAGTAAAATCTCAGAAATTTCTCAAAGCAATATTTTTGCCAATATATCTCTGGGGTAAGGGAAAAAAGGGAAAAATAAGCAAATTCAACTATATCAAACTAAAAATCTTTTACACGACAAAGGAAACCATCAACAAAATGAAAAGTCAACCCACTAAATGGGAGAACAAATAGGTCAATGACACATCTGATAAGGGGTTAAATTCCAAAATATATAAAGAATCATACAATTCAACACCAAAAAAACAAACAATCCACTTAAAAAATGGGCAAAGGACCTGAATAGACACTTCTCAAAAGAGGCCATACAGATGGCCAACAGATATATGGAAAGGTGCTCATGGTAGCTAATTATCAGAGAGATGCAAATCAAAACCACAATGAGATATCACCTAATGCCTATCAGAATGGCTATCATTAAAAAATCAATAAATAACAAGCGCTGGCAAAAGAATGTGCAGAAAAGGGCACCCTGGTGCACTACTGGTGGGAATGCAGACTGGTGCAGGCACTGTGGGAAATAGTATGGAGTTTCCTCAAAAAATTAAAATTGGAACTGATTTTGACCCAGAGATCCCACTTCTGGGAGTATATCCTAAGAAAAGCAAATCGCTAACTCAAAAGAATGTATGTGCCCCTATGTTCATTGCAGAGTTATGTACAAAACCATAGATCTGGCAACATCCCAATTTCCCATTAGTAGATGAGTAGATAAAAAAATTGTGGTACATTTATACAATGGAATACCACTTAGCCGTATAAAAGCAGGAAATCTTACCTTTTGGGACAACACAGATGACCTGGAGATTATTAAGCTAAGTGAAATAGGTCTATCAGAGAAAGACAAATGCCATAGGATCTCACTTTTATGTGGTATCTAATGCACAAAATAATTTTACAAACCAAAAAGAAACAAACATAGATACATAGACTGATAGCTGCCAGTGGCGAGGGTGGCTAGGGGGCTGGGTGAAAAAAGTAGAACAGGATTTAAAAAAAAAAAATATATATATATATATATATACACACACACACACAAACATATATGTATCTATGAAACATGGACTCAGACAACAGTATGGTGACAGCCACAGGGCAAGAGGGCTGGAAGTAGGTGGAAGTGGGCAGTGGTGAGGGGGACAAATGGGGATGGAAAGATACTTTACTTTGGGCAATGAATGCATGATGCAGTGTGCAGATGATGTATTATTGAGCTGTACACTTGAAATCTGTATGGTTTTATTAACCAATATCACCCCAATAAATTCAATAAAAATTACACAAATAATAACCCACTTCTTTTTAGCATTGATGAGTTCCTTAAATTTTCAATTTTGAGAATAACAGGGAACTGAATGTTCAACCTGTAGAAAAATAAGCAGCTAATCTTATTGTACAAAACGTAATTTAGATACTTTACTTACTAGAAAGTAGTAGACACTATTTAAAAAGTGTCTTATAGTGTACTTAATATCACATATACTGGAATGAGGAAGAAAATGAAGAAAAGCATTGTGAGGATTTTGAATCTCAAAAGGATATGCACATGCACTTATTTAGACAAATGGGAAAAATACAACTTAATATAAGACATACAGATATTGGCATTAGCCACAATACAGGAAACAAAAATAAATAATAAATGCCCAAAATGGAATTGGTAGTATGCAAGAGATTTTATTAACTTTGCCCATTTAACAAAATTCCCAGTGGAATTGATAAATATATATTAATTTGCAATTACATGCTATGCTCCAATACATGCTATCTTAACAAAGACCACTGTCAGGGAAATGTAAGTCCAGGGGAGGGGTATTACAATCTGTACCATTAAAATTCTCTACTGTTTACTCTCTTTTGGATCAAGCATGTGTCATGGATGGTATATGTGGGGCTATAATAAAGTTGGATAGAGCCTAAGGCAGTAGCTGGGATGGTGTGTCTGCCTTCTCCCTCAGGAAAGCGGTAGAGAGTATAAAGAGGGGTTGTCTGTTGAGAATGGTGTATGGTTGCCGAGATGGCGGTGGTAGATACGCATAAAACAGTTGAGCACTAGGTCTGCTTAATGCACTTTCCAAATTAGTCAAACATAGTATACATATTGAGTACAAATATATTCCTTACTGTTTCAATATAAAGTCAGGCAATGTAATGTTACTCCTTTCTACATCATTTCAATTATTAAAATGGAAGAAATTATCATGTTGAAGCTAATTTGCATCAATTAAGGCACCTTATGTTACAAACAACAATAAATGGCTCAGGCTAATTGAGGAAACAAACAAGAATTTATTGAAGGGTTAGTGCCAAGGCTCAGTGACTTAGAGTAGCAGTTGAAACAGCTCGATCTTTCAAAAAAGAGGAATTGAAGCAGGCCCAGCAGTGGAAAACCTTAATTTGAGTTGCAGACAAAGAATAACTCACCACCTCCCCCACAATCTCTCTCTCTTCTGTTTTACTTTTCCAGGTTATCAGTACAGATTAGTCAAAGATGGATAGGTCTTTGCCCCTTGGTCAATGATGAAAGCATTTGGTGAAGTAAAGACTTCACTTGTCTACTCTGAATGACTGGCCACATATTTGGCCAGAAAGTACCATATTTTCAAAGGAAGAAGTAAAAAATACTAGTCAGATGAAACCAAAAGCAACTATAATCTGTCTCTTAGCGTCTGTGAACCTGTGGACACACAGGTGCACATACACTTCTTATACACGCATCTCCATGGGAAGGATGGAGCACAGAATGAATAGTTTCAGGAGAATCTAATATGCATATATACAGGTGTGCAAAATGCCACAGTGCAGCTTTAAGCTCTAATAATTTCAGAGGGGTAAAAGCTACAAATAATAAAGACCATCATTTAAAAGTGGATCTCTTTTAATTTCCCTTCTCTTGTACTTTGGAAGATTGTAAATAACACTTTTTTAATTTTCATTTTTTGTCTCTGAGCCTCTGAAGATTACAAGAATTAAAATTGATCTTTGAAATGTATAAAGTTAAACTAGTGTAAATTACATGAAAGTAATTAAACATGCAAATTGTGTTTTTCAAAAGCTGGTAGTTTTAGCCTCCTAAAGTTTAAGCTTAAACATTCACTATGACATTTTGCACACCTGTATATATACATATCAGATTATCTTGAAACCATTCATTTTGTGCACCATTCCTCCCCTTGGAAAGGTGTGTATACGAAGTGTTTATGCACCTGTGTGTCCACAAGTTCATAGCAGCTAAGAGGTAGATTATAGTTATTTTGGGTTTCATCCCTGCAGTACCTTTTCTCTCTCAATAACATCTGTCTTATAGACAAAGAATTACGTGGGTGAAAACATTTGAGGGAGATATTGGAAAAGGCATATCCTCATTTAAAGAATATGGAAAAATGTGCAAAACTCTTCAGCCCATTTTGAGGGAAACGTGGGGGTGGGTGCAGGGGGGGGGTATTGCAATCTGTTCCATCAATATTCCGCAGTGGCCACACCCTTTTGCAGGAACCATGTGTCATGGATGGTATCGTGGGTGTGGTGAAGGTGGACAGCGTGTGAGGCAGTGTCTGGATGGTGTGTCTGCCTTCTCCCCCGGGGAAGCGGTGGGGAGTATTCGAGGGGTTGTCTGCCCAGGTTGGTGGCATGGCTGGCTGCAGAGATGGTGGCGGCAGATCTGCAGCAGGAGGTTGGGGACTAGGTCTGCTCGAAGACAGTGAAGCCTCCTCACTGGAGCCTAACCTGCTTCACTTCCTCTCTCTTAGGGGCTGAGACGGTCTGTTTAGTTGTGTGAGGTGGTCTTCATGCCAAACTGTTCTTCCTTCTGGCATCTAAGCGCGGCCTTCTGGATTTTCTCCTTCATTCTTTTCTCACGCTTTTTCTGCTTTAGACGAGCCATGGCGAGATGGAAAGCGTGGCAGCTGAAGCCCTCATTGACCCCATACTCCACGTGCTCCTGCAGGACGTCTAAGCTGGGGAAGACCCGGCAGCAGGCCATGCACCTGAAGCCACTGTCTGGGGCCACCAGCCACTCGGGCGTCTTGGCCCTGGGGTACACCTCCAGGGCAGGGGGCTCTACTGGCCTGTCAGCCTTCTGGCTGTTGTCCTGGGCTCGGCTCTCTGAGCTGGGCTCACCACCAATTAGCAGTTTGTTCAAAGACATGTGAGAGTGGGGGACATTTTTATGGACCTTTTCAATGTAGCTTATTTCTTCCATTTTCATCTTTTTTGAGGGAGGCTCCAATCCTTCCTCTGTGTCACTTAAGACAGCCACGCCCCTTTTCATTTGCACAGGCATGTAGTAAATTGTTGTGAGCCTTAGATCTGTCCCATCTACTGAGGGCATAAAGGGCTCATTGTTATCACCAGAATGGGAAGAAATGGAGGTAAGTGAAGAGGTGGAGGAATTCTTCGTTTCTTCGAAGTCCTGGGACACAGGCATCTCCCTGATTCCTGGGAAAGAAAGGTTCAAGCATAAGAACTAGAATGTGTGTGAAGGCTGTAGGAGGTAGGACGGACATGCCCTTCATGAGCAGGTGACGTAAAAGCACAACTGTATGTGATATTCCTGAATTTTGTGTGTGCTATGCTTTATGTGACGTGTTTACACTGTATAACTAGGTGGCAAAGCATTATATGCATGTTTCTTGTGGATTTGTACATATATTCTGGCACATATCTGGGAGTGTTTTCAATGTTGCTAAAAGGGGATGGTGAATGAGTGTGTGCATGTTGGTTATGTGTTGTCAAAGCACATGTGAACAGTGCAGGTGTGATATGTGTTCTTACTGTGAGACAGTGAGACTGAGAGTGTTGGAGGAGGTGTGGATGAGCTCTCAGAATGTTCAGATCTATGAACGTCTGAAGGCCTGGTGGTGGAAGGTCATATGGATTAGAGAGACAACAGAGGAAAGTTCATTTCCTTCAGGGCATGTGACTTGTTTAGAGTTTGGCCTAAAGAGGTTATGTGTGTGAGAGGAAGTGAATGATTTATGGAATTAGTGTGTAAGTGGGTGAGTCTGAAAATGATTTTGTGAAGGAATGAAGGTAAGGACGTATCTAGTTAATGCCACTAGAGAATGGGAAACATAAATGTGAAATGAAGGCCTGTGTGTTTGAGAAAACAAGTGAAAAGGAGAAATGGGGCGATACCTCGCATGAAGGAGTACAGGTGTGTGAGTGAGAGGATGTGAGTTTGTGCTCATCTGAGGGGGAAGGTTCTGAGTAAACTACCAAACACATATCAGCACTGTCCACCTCCTCAGACACAGAGTTCCCAGTGCTGTTATGTTGGAAATTTTTCCTGAGGTCCTTGCCCTGTCCTTGCAGGCACATTCCACAATTGTCGCTCTGCAGAAGCCTTAGTACCAGTCCCTCTGCCCTGAAGCCCTTCCAGTTTTTGAGGGGAAAGGGAACTAAGTAGGGACTGGCCTGAGCAGCTCAGCTGCATCTCCTGACCAAGCTCAGTTCCCTCCTTTGTATAGCCCTTACCACCTTCCTCATGATGGGGAGGCCTGGATTCAGAGTCGACAGATGTGAAATATTCAGAGAAGGAAGAGTTTTCTCCTGTTGCATGACTATAGGCTGGGAGCTCCACAGGTGACTCAGACTCAGGAGCATCTTCTTCAGTGTTGCACAGTCCTGGGCATAGGAATCAAAAAGAACATTGAGATGAGGCATTTTCTGGGGTCTTTGTCAATTCAAAACCTACATGTAGAGTGGACATTACATGTCAGGCATCATTACCAGACGGCACTTGTTCTCAGAGAAATTAAGGTGACTTCCCCATTTAAAATTCCATTGACTTCAAACTATAAGCAAACTCTTATTAAAATTGTGTTTTGGTATGTGAAAGTGGAATTAGGTATGTATTACTTGATATTTCTGGTGATCTCTGTGGATTATCAAGACAGAGCCATGGCTGAAAGACAGTATGTAGCAATTCAATTTCATATCAATTAAATTTCCTGATGAAAAAATTATACAATTAGGATATATGTGGTGCCAGGTTTATGAAGTATTCTGTATGAATATCTATGTTTATATTGTCTATATTGATATATATTTATAGACAGAGATGTACAATGATAAATCTTTATGTGTGAAAAAATAACTCACTATTATGTCACTGTCCCTGTATCAGTGTTAGCCCTGCTCACTGCATATTATTTAACTGTGAAGGTTATAGTCGCATCTCATGAATTGTGTGGTATAAGCATTATTGACATTTGTAGCAGTATGGCATGGTGAATGTAATGAGTTCAGTGTTTAAGTTTATAAAGTGTTGGCTAAAACTGGGTTAAGGTTCACTTGTGTGGTTGATTTGGTGTTTGTGAATCTGAATATGGGATGGGCTTTGTGTGACTGAGGCTGGTATGTGTGCTTTGTGTCTGTGTGTTAGTTCAGCACATCCTTATGTGTTTAGATTGCATTTTCTATACGATGGATTTGTGTGTGTTTTATATATTATGTTGTTTACATATGGAATGTTATTACTGAGAATATCCTCATTCAGACTAGCGGAATTAGTGTATTTGCAAAATGCCAGGAAAGAATTAAAGATCTTCAGAATGTAAAAATCAAGGAATATAAAAAAGAGTACCTGGGCTTTGAAAAAAATAGCAGAGAGTGCAGAGAAGGCTGTAAGATTAGGTGAGCAGTTACTGGTGACTGCATTAGAAAGTAAAAGTATGAAAGATTGAGTTCTGAAGGGGTTAAGATAGAAAGTAAGGCTTAGCAGTCTATCTTAAGCTTTCATACCAAGCAGAAATGTGTCCATATTAAAAATTATGTTTAACAGAATACTAAGAAAACCATCTTTTAAATTAATATCAGACTCAAAGCAACCCAAATGCTCGGAAGAGTAAAAGCAATAAATTATATTCTTGCAATGGTATATATATATAACTATGCCAAGAATAAACAAACTAAAGTCACATGCAACATGGACATATTATACAAATATAAGGATCAGATGGAGAAACCAGACACGAAGTATACATGGTGCCCTTCTATTTTCATAAAATTTAAAAACAGGCATACTAATCTAGGAGTCAGCGACATTTTAACTCTTTGTATGTTACGAATAAAAATGGACGGTGGGGACTTCAGATGCATGTGGAGACTATAAGGAAATGAGTGATGAGTGAGGGCAGGGGGTCTGATGAGGAGTGAATGTCAGTGGGAAAACACTGGCCATGAAAATCTGTGGATGTGATGAGGCCTCGGCTGGGTATCTCTGTACTCTACCTCAGTTTCGTTTTTAGGGTCCTACCACTTTTGGCCTGTTTTAAGTTATTAGTGCTTTCATGTGTTCCTGGTAATATAACATGCCCTTGTTTGATTCATACTAACATACTCTTCCATGTTTCTCTAAAAAAATTCTCATCCCTCAGCCCTTCTCCCACTATGTCCTCAAATAGAACCATGTTCTGCACTGATCTCTGTGGGCTCGCTCCAGTCCTTTTAAGTGCTTTTCCCTTGGAATGCCACTGCTGGTCACCTTAGAGATGATGCAGAAGCCTTTGAGTTCATCTCTGTACTGGAGCCTTGTGTCCAGTGATGGGCAGAATCAGTAGGCTCATCTCTGGATTCTGTCTAGGTCACAGCCTCTCTTTGCATCCTACTCAATAGTCCCCCCTTACCAGCACCAGTTATCCTGTCTTTAGGAGACATGCAGGACCAGTCCTTTGAAGAACAGGAACCCTCCCACGCTTTCAGGCCTTGAGTTAGGGCCACTGCCTTATGTCTACACCACAATAAATCTTCTGGTAAATGCAGATTTTCTGAGGAAGTAAAAAAAATTAGTAGTAATACAGTCCATGTTTGTTATTTGTGTATTTATCTGTTCATTAAACAAACAATGAGAGTCTACTATGTGACATGGCCAGAGAACACACAAGGTCTCCATTTCACGAACAGGGTAATACGGTTCCTATGAAAATATAAAATGCACAGAAATATTAAATGCACTTAATATCACCATAAATACCATGGGTGACTCGGTTTGCACAAAGAAGGCTCTTTGTAAATGGAACGGAGACTGCCGACTCCTTTCTATCTGGACCTACAAAATATTATATATCTCAGCTTTCCTTGCAGGATGTTCTGACCATGACATTACATTTCTACAATGGAAATTGAATGGAAATGACATGTGCCACTTCCATGCATCTCCATACAAATCTCCTATGTGCCCCTCCATGATCTTCCATTTTCTAGGTGCCTTTGATACAGGCATCTCAAGGGTTCCAAGGCAGGACACATTTCGATGTAATTGACAGGTTCCTAGGAAGGAAAATTTCAAACAGAAGAAAACTAGGATATCTGTGAAGACTGTAGGAGTTAGGATGGCCATGGCATATGAGAGCATGTGGAGTCAAAGTACACCTATATGTGATATTTCAGAATTCTGTGTGTGGTATGCTTCCCTTGGGGTGTTTATGTGGTATAACCACATGGGAATGAGGATCTAGCTTTGTATGCACATTTCTGTGGAGTTGTATGTATGTTTTGGAACATATCTGGTGAGTGTTTTTGACGTTGGTACAAGAATGTATAGAACGAGTGTGTGCATGTTGGTTATGTGGTTTGAGGGCACATGTGAATAAGGGCAGGTGTGGTTCTTACTGTGAGACAGTGAGACAGAGTATTAGAGGAGGTGTGTGTGAGCTCAGAACGTTCAGATCTATGAACGTCTAAAGGCCTGGTGGCTGAAGTGCCATATGGATTAGAGAGACAACAGATGAATGTTCATGTCCTTTAGGACATGTGAGTTGTCTACACTTTGACCTGAGAGGTTATGTGTGTGATGTGAATGATTTATGGAATTAGTATGTAAGTGGGTGAGTCTGAAAATGACTGTGTGAAGGAATGAAGTTAAGGGTGTATCTAGTTAATGCCACTAGAGAATGGGAAACATAAATGTGAAATGAAGGCCTGTGTGTTTGAGAGGACAGGTGAAAATAAGGGAGAAATGGGGCCATACCTCGCACGAAGGAGTACAGGTGTGTGAGTGAGAGGATGTGAGTTTGTGCTCATCTGAGGGGGAAGGTTCTGAGTAAACTCACAAACACACATCAGCACTGTCCACCTCCTCAGCCACAGTTGTCCCAGTGCTGCTATGCTGGAAATTTTCCTGAGGTCCTTGCCCTGTCCTTGAAGGCACATTCCATAATTGTCACTCTGCAGAAGCCTTAGTACCAGTCCCTCTGCCCTGAAGCCCTTCCAGTTTTTGAGGGGAAAGGGAACTAAGTAGGGACTGGCCTGAGCAGCTCAGCTGCATCTCCTGACCAAGCTCAGTTCCCTCCTTTGTATAGCCCTTACCACCTTCCTCATGATGGGGAAGCCTGGACTCAGAGTCGACAGATGTGAAATATTGAGAGGAGGAAGAGTTTTCTCCTGCTGCATGACTACAGGCTAGGAGCTCCACAGGTGACTCAGACTCAGGAGCATCCTCTTCAGTGTTGCACAGTCCTGGGCAAAGGATTAAAAAAGAACATTGAGATGAGACATTTTTGGGGTCTTTTTCATTTCAAAAACTACATGTAGAGTGGACATTACATGTCAGGCGTCACCACCACACATGATACTTGTTCTCATAGATATTAAGGTGACTTTCCCACTTAAAATTCTATTTCTTCAAAACTATAACTAAATACTTATTAAAATTGTGTGTTTGGTTGGTCACAGTGGAATCGGGTATCTTGTATGTGATACTTCTGGTGGTCTCTATGGATTATCAAACCTTAGAACCATGCCTGAAAGACAGTATGTAGCGATGCAATGTTGATATCAATTGAATTTCCTGACGAAAAATTGTACATTCAGGGCCTAAGTGGTGCCAGCGTTATGAAGCAGTCTGCAAGCATATCTATTTGTACTGTTGTCTATATTGATGTAGATTTATAGACAAAGGTGTAAAATTATAATAAGTCTTTATGTTTGAAAAAATTACTATTATTATGTCACTGTCCCTGTTTCAATGTTAGCCATGCTCACTGCTTATTATTTAACTAGGAAGATTATCATCACATCTCATGAATTGTGTGGTATATGTATTATTGACATTTCTAGCAGTATGGCATGGTGAATGTAATGAGTTTGGTGTTTAAGTGTATAAAGTGTTGGTTAAAACTGGGTTAAGGTTCCTTTGTGTGGTTGATTTGGTGTTTGTGAATCTGAATATGGGATGAGTTTTGTGTGACTGAGGATGGTATGTGTGCTTTGTGTCTATGTGTTAGTTTAGTACATATTTATGTGTATAGATTGCGTTTCCTATAATGATGGATTTGAGTGTGTTTTATATACCATTTGTTTTAGATATGGGATGTTATTACTGAGAATATTCTCTTTGAGACTCTTGGAATTAGTGTATTTGCAAAATGCCAGGGAAGAATTAAAGAAAGTAAGAATATGAAGACAAGGAGTATAAGAGAAACTTGGCAGAGAGTGCGGAGAAGAGAGTGTAAGATCAGGTGAGCAGGTGCATGTGACTACATTAGAAAGTAAGTCTGAAAGATTGAGCTCTGAAGAAGTTAAAATAGAAACTAAGGCCTAGCAGTCTATCTTAAGCATTCACCAAGCAGAAATGTGTCCATATTAAAAATTATGTGTAACAGAATAATCAGAAAACTAGCTGTTTAATTAATACCAGAGTCAACGCAACCCAAATGCTCAGAAGAGTATAAGCAATAAATTACATTTTGCATGTGAGTTCATTTTTGTATTGGGCAGTCTTGTGTCCACTAATGGGCAGAATTACTCTGCTCAGCTCTGGGTTCTGTCCAGGCCACAACCTCCCTTTTCACCCTATTTCGTAGTCCCTCCTTACCTGCACCAGTTAGCTTGTGTTTAGAAGAGAAGCAAGATAAGTAGTCTGATGAAAAATAAGCCTCCCAGGTTTTCCAACCTTGAGTCAGAGCCACGGCCTTGCATCTATGCTGCAAAGCATCTTCTCTTAAATTCAGCTCTGCTGAGAAATTAAATAAAAAGAATAGAGATGCTGTCCATTTTTGCTATTTATGTATTTATCAAACAAAACCACAAACAAACAAAACAAAATAAAAATCTTTTGCACAGCAGAAAAAAAATCCTCAAAATAAAAAGGGAACCCAATATATTGGAGAACATATTTGCCAATGATACATCTTATAAAGGCTTATTTCCAAAATATATAAAAACTTACACAACTCAATACCAGGAAGAAAAACAACCCAATTAGAAAATGGATAGAGGACCTAAATAGAAATCCAACTGAAAAATTCGAAAGAAGACATATAGGTGGCCAAAAGACATTTGAAAAAATGCTCAGCGTCACTAATCATCAGAGAAATGAACACTGAAACCTCAATGAGCCCTGGCTGGTGTGGCTCAGTTGGTTGTATTTGATTCCCTGTCAGGGGACATACCTAAGCTAGTGGTTTGACCCTGGTTGGGGTGCATGTAGGAGGCAGCCTATCAGTGTTTCTCTCACACAACTGTTTCTGTTTCTCTCTCTCTTTCTCTGACGTTACAGTCAAGAACATCTCTATATATCTACTCTTATTTCTTGAAAGTGAAATGAAGACAACCTTCTCCAAAGGTCTACTGGAAGATGCAGAAATCCCAAACAAGTTAGAGATACCAGTTTTCTTTAGGAATGTGAGCCACCACTTGGAACTTGGGGGTTGGCTCCAATCAGTCTCCCTCCCACCACTGAGCAATGGTTCTTCCTCATAGTGGTTACTTGTTTACTTTTAATCTCCATAGTAACCAAACTATTTCAGTTTTCCATTTTTCCAGAAAGAGCCCAACTTTCTCCTTAATTTTACCATCAGTGTTAAAGGATGTTTGTGTGTAACCCATTTTTTCTTACATTTCACATAACAGCCCCACATTTACATTTTCATAGTCTAAAACAAAATAATTCGTTTTTACCCCAGTAAACAAATGCTTCCTGACATTATACTTTCATCCCTACACAACAAGTTTTAAGTGTTCAAAGTTCTCTTTTTCCACCAATTTTTTCCTCACCTCTATGAGCCAGGCTTTCTTCTTGATTAACAGGAGGAAGTACTATTAGAAAACTGGTAACAACAACATTCATTTAACCAGTGCCCTTAGGCAGAAATCAAATAAAGGGAAATACATTTTATAAGAAACAGTATACTAATCAACCACTATGTCTGTAACAGAATAACCCAGAGTGACACAGTATATGTAGCACAAGTCGTAACACAGTGACAAGGACCAGGACATCTGAGTTTATTCTCAGACTACCTGGGCCCTCCAAAAATGAGCATGCACGCATCCCTCTCAGTCTCTGTCTCTGTCTCTCTCTTTCCTCTCTCTTCCATCCCACCCCCCGTCCTTCCCCACCTCTCTTATTTCCCCTTCCTCCTACTCTCTCCCTCCATTCCTCATCACAACTAGGAATTCTCTCTTTTTCTTTAGAAAACAGTACCTGAGTACCCTATTCGCCAAGAAGGTGCTGAACACATACCTCTTGAAATCCTTGCAGTTTTGATGATACACCTGCTTTCCAGATGTTTCGTTTTTTCTTTATGCTTCATGGTTCAACTCTTTAAAGAGTCACTCAAATTAGGTACTTTTCTCCCCCAAACTCTGCTCTCAGAGTGTCTGTTGAGAGACTCCTCTCCTCAACAAATCTCTGTTCTGGCCAATGGCTTAGAACATCACCAGGGCTGTTGTGATGCAAGTTGTCACTAAGGCTTCAGCAGTGTTCTGTGACCTATGCATTACATCAGTGCACCCCAGGCTCCCAGCTCATATTCACAGGACTAGAGGACTGCCACTGACCAGCCCTCTGGCCAGTTGATCCCTTTTATCCAATGGAAACTCTACCATGACCTTGAATTCCTTTTAATTGCTTACCTGATATCAACACTAGAGGATAGGTGATTTGAATTAAACAAAGGAAATTATTTTGTGTGTCTAGGGTAACTACATTTCTAAATCTCTCCAATGGTGAGGCTAAGGAGTACCTGGGAAAACTAGGCTTAGAACTATGCTTAGAACTCACAGAAAACAGTATTGTTATTTATTTCTTATGGGCAGTTATATTGAACTTATATGAAAACATAAATTATATGTGAGGTGTCTATTGGTGTATATGTGTGGATTTGAAAATAGCTCATAA